TGCACCTATTCCGGTCGATTTTTTTCAATGCGAAGAAAGCTATATCTTATCTGTACGAGGAGAAGCTTTTAGGACATGGTTTTAGAGTTACGATAAGTGAATTCTTTCGCGACAACTTTATTGTTTTAGAGGAATGCGAAATATTTTAAAAGATACAGAATTAAGATATACTGTAGGGTTGGGAAAAATAAAAATCGGAATTTTATACTATTTTACAAATATACATATCCACAATATTTAGCATTCAGACAATAACTCATTGATTTAAAGCTAACGTGGGATCTTTGATAAATAAAAAATAAAAATTGTGACAGACAGAGAAGTTGAAAAAAAAATATTTCCATTTCCCACATGAAGTCTAACGTGTATACTGTTGTCTGAAACAAGTTTCTGTTGGGAAGAGAACCCACGACCCGTGAATATATAAATGCATTGGACCTAGGAGCCGTCAAATTAATGTTAATAATAAAAACCTTTATAAACGAGTAACATCTAAGTATAAAACAGCCCAAGGATTCTTATATGAACAATAGTTAACAATAATACAACCGGGCATTTTTCATTCGTGAGACCACAGATTATGTATAGTTTTCAGAATTTAAATATTGTAGATGCAAAAAATATTTATTTGAGCGAAGAGGATATTTCTGAACGTTTTGGCTAATATACTCTTGTCTGTGGCTCAAAGTCCACTAAGCAAGCAGGTTACACTAAATGTTTCCTATTCCTATTTTTGAAAAAGGAATCTTATTTAGGTCTTACAAGAGCAAATGTTGTATAATAAAGAATTGCTAAAAATATTTTTTCAGGCGTGTTTTTTTTTACTATTTCATCTACTAAAGCGGAAGTACTATAGAGTTGAGTTCTGTAGTTAGAAATTACAGAAAAAAAGACTTCAGTGCAACGTTAAGACCCAGATGCAAACATAGTATAGTTATGCCAATTAAATAATTATTTACAACTTAACAAACCGGTCTTAATGACCATTTATGGAGACTCGTTCTACAATTGCGTCTCTTGGATCGCAGAGGTCTTGGCGAGATGGATAATTTGAGGATTGTAGTCTTAAAGATTGTGTGATGGTGGTGCACGCGTTTTAAAACTAGTTTTGGTGGTATTCTGGTACGTTGACAAATATATTTTGAGGCGTTTTACTATTAATATTAGTAATCCACAGTTTTATAATGACTTCCGTAATGAAATGCAGTATTAAAATTTAATTTTACAGAGGCCGCTAGAGACAGAATAGCCTAACTGAAATTTATATTTTCATAGTCTAATTATGTTAATCTACAAGAGAACAGTTACCGAAAATTGTTAACATAATTTTTACACAAATAATAGTCAAAGTCATTTTTCGCCTAAGTTAATTGCGCATTTTTATTTTCCTCCTTATTTAAACCATATATTTTTTGTTACTAGGCCACTCTGCCTCTAGCAGCTTTAATTGTATTTGGTTTTAGAAATTTATTAAACTTTACATATTTTTTCAATAAATGCGTCATAAATGTTTAAATAACATTTTTTTCAAAAATTTTATCTTATCGTTTACGAATATTTGTTGTAAACGAATTGACGGAACTAAAGTACTTAGAATTGCTAAGTTTAGGACAATTTTCTAATATAACTCTAATTACTCCTTTTAATTTGAATCTTAAAAACATCAAACTTTCGGTTGGTTTTAAAATGGGGTCTAAAGGCTAGGCTTCAAATATTTTTTTTTATTAATTTAAAAAGCGTTTTTAGAAAATTAAGGACATTTATGCAATATTTATTCATTGAATAATTAACTATTTTGGTAATGTGTTGATCATAATCAAGGTAAACCCGATATAATAAAATGTACTGTTTTTTTATAAGCATATAATATATTCGTATATTCTCGAAACCTTCAATATCTTTTTTTATAATAATTTTATTGTAATTTTTTTTGTAAAGTGATATTTTGTTTTTCTTACAGTAGAGTCAGAGCTCGCGTTACAAAAAGCCACCTTGCTTAGCAACTAATTCAAATTTTTTGTTGCTAAACATTTCGAGTCACACTTTTGCCTATTTCGATGTAGCTAGAATTCTTATAATGATATAGATAATTACTCTAACCACAGATTATTATAAAGAAACTGAACTGAATATTAAAAACTAATCGCAGTGGTGATGGCCTACAGATTCGCGTTTCGATTTTAGTCCATGGATTGTCGAATATCCAAAGACTTAATAGATCAACGATGTATCTTGGTTAGTATTATCATATGGCTAGGGCATGTCGCCGTCCTCTCTGTCAAAAAATGTACATTTAACAATGTGATACGAGGTATGACTAAATGTCAAAAGTTAAGGTCTATATTCATTTTAAAATTGCAAACAACATGAAATGTTAAGGAAAATTAATAAAACGTCACGTCCGTGTTAAAACATATTATTATGTTATTATAAGACGCTTTATTGTACTATTAAGTTATTACATTTATATGCCTTCTGCTAGGTTAATTATTATTACTTGAATACTGTCTATAGTTTACGCGACTAGTACACATTTAAATAAAACACTTTAACGGTTTAAAACGCGATATATTAGTTAAACTTATTTGAAAATGGATTTTAACTTCGGCCCGACGTTTCGGATGCTTCGCAGCAGCCGTGGTCACGGGGAGACCAAAACGTCGGGCCGAAGTTATCATTTTCAAATAAGTTTAACTGATATATCGCGTTTTAAACCATTTAAGTGTTTTATTTAAATATTATTACTTAACTTTCAACATAAATCAATAAAAAATAACAATAATTAGGGAACCTTTAGGGTGATCAGTCCACTTTTACTGACTATTCCACCCGTTTACCCCTTCTGCCCTTGCGCAGGATTTTGGGTTAACCAACTCTCACTGCGACCCTTCAAACCTTCTGGTTTTTTTACACAATCTTATTATCTGTTCCATCTTTAGTTCTTTGATCTCATCTATTGCTCAGTGAGTAGATGGATATATATTTTGGCTAGCAAACCGTTTTTGCAGCGCACGTAATGGAAATATTTTTGATAAGTATAGTATATGATAATAATACCGATCCGATAGAACTATTTATATGTTTTCCCCACATTCGAACAGGATCTCTTGGCATAAAAACATAGCAAGGCAATACCAACCAACCTACGGAGGTATAGTATTTTTATTAAAATTTATTAGCTAAAACTAGCGATAGTTTCAATTTAAAACGATTTGATTTAATAAATCATAGTTACAGAACACATTTTCATTTCTTCACCACAGACGTCAGAACTCAAGTCGTGTGACGTATAAGGGCCATTACACACGAGTGGCAAATTAATACAAAACAAATTTAAACGTTTATATGCGTTGCCGCGAGATCTAGAACTTCAAAGAGAATCTATACTAATAAATCTAAAAAGTTGGTTTGTTTGTGAACGAGTTCAACTCAGATGTTTACTGGTTCGAATTTAAAAATTATTTTTGTGTTGGTTTGATCATTTATCATCAGGCTGCGACCATAAGGACGAAAGATATTGTGGGAAATGTGGAAAAAACGGAGAAAATTCGTAATCTTTGAGATTTTTAGTTGCGTGCACTGTGAGAGTAGTTGAAGATACCCAAAAAGTATATATAAAAGAATGTTTTCTCTTTAAATGATATGAAAAAAGGTCTGCGACACTATATGCCTATCTTTTAAGATTAACTTAACGAGGCCCGAGCGACGCGACGCAGACGATGTCGCGGGTAACGGTTTAATTATAAATACGAAGAGGAGGTTTACAAAAAAAAAAATTGGATACCCAAATTTACCATTGTCGCTGACACAGCTAGTTAATATAATAAAAGGTGTACACCAAAATGTACATCGATATTATTGAACAATACAAAAACATTATTTGAATCTCTTGACAGAGGACAGAATCTCAGACATTCTTCTATTTTTTTCTTATCCTAACGAAACGCGTCAATATTAATACGATAAGTAAAACATTGTTATAGTGTGCACATTGCATTTTACAGATAATATATAATATAATAATAGTGATAATTACGTAAAAATACTAATCTGCAGTAATTATCAATCTTATTAATATAATCTACTGCCACCCAAAGTCTACTTCTAATCACTGTGTGACTCACCTAAGAAACGTTCCCTTGTTGAAAAATTACGATATGAGTAAATATACTGTAGGTAGTTTAATAAAAGTAAAATGTTGTACAATCTTCACAATCTTATCATATTCAAATAAATTCTTATTATCACTATATAACTTAAAAATCGAAAAAACATTTAAAAAACTTCGACTTGGGCAGGACCTGCCGAGTCGGAAAAAAAAATTTTTTTTTCAATTTTTAAATTATACAGTGCCTTCTTGTGCACCATAACATGTAGAAAATAATAAAGATTTCAAAACTTATTATCACTATTATCTTATAGAAATAAAACACTTTTTCAAACGCGATATATATTAGTAAAACTTATTTGAAAATTATATTTAACTACGGCCCGACGTTTCGGATGGACAATGACGTCAAAGTAAAAACTGCTACGCTAGCGCCATCTGTTCCATCGAAGTTGGTATTTGGCGAAACTAGCTGGTTAAGTTAGTGTTTTATTTGTGTACTATACGCGTAAACTACAGACGGTAATATTTAACTTTTAACGGTTTCAAACGCGAAATTTATATTAGTTAACTTATTTTACATTTAATTTTCTTCTTAGAATTGTTATTTATTTTTATGAGAAATAAAAGAAATGTGCTCGTCAGCAAGAAGACTTTAAGAAACGCTTCAGTTGTTATACCGCTGCGCAAACACAGTTAGTTTTAAGCGAGAGTTCAATCTATAGTGCTCGGTCTTTTAAAATCTCTACACCTTTAACATCTTACGCTCAAATATTTGAGAAGTGGCCAGATATTTAACAAAAGCAGGTGAGATTCAAAGAATTAAATACAGAACAACAACAATTTTTACATATTATTGCATAGGATGGCATTATATACATTTTCAAATCTATTATAAATTGAAAACAATTACGATTCGGGCTATGACTTTCTTCTGCGACCGCTTCAGCGGGCGCAGGTATTCCTGTTCGCGCAATTGCGCCTGCAGGAGGTGGCGGGTATCGTGGCTCGTTGCTACGAGCCCGTCGGTAGGTGTGCTGCAATGGCAGCGTCTGGCCGGTGGTGACGTCGGTGGCTTCATCTCGCGCACCGACGTCCTGGGTGCTGCACGCTTCGGGTGAGGGGGATGTTGATGCACACTCATTCAACACCCCGACGATCCTGTCAGCGGCAGCAGGCGCTCGGGGACACGGGCGGCTTCATCTCGCGCACACCGTGTCCTGTGCTTCTTCTTCTTCAATGGCTGCGTCGGGAGAGCGGCACGGCACGGCGGCAGCAGGCAACCGGGGCACGGGCGGGTGCGCCTAGTGGGGCAACCGGGACGGGCCCTGGACGAGGGGCGGTCGGTCAACCGGCGCACACGCCACCGGGGGGCCGGCGCGCAACCCGCGCGCGGGCTACAGCCGCGCGGCACGCATGCGGCTTCCTTCAGCGGCCGGGGAGGGTGACGGCCGCCGAAATCGCAACTCCCGGCATATGGAGCACGGAAGCGGTGGCCGCCACCTGTGGGTCATCTTCGGGTGTTGTTGTCGCTTGAAGGGGGTTGCGGCAGGGCGCGAGCGGCGAGGTCCCCGACAACGTCAATCGGGAACGAGCACGCTCGCGTAGCACGAACCGCAGACTCGCCTTCGCTGCGACGCGTCGTGAAGGGATCCTCTCCTCCGCGTCCTCCTTCGGGAATGGGCGTCACAACTGGGTACAGGGCGACGTATCTCGATGAAACAATGAAGCTTGAGGCTGAAGCTCGAAGCTGGCAGACGATCTTCGTGTCCGTGTGGGGGCGCGGGCGGCGCGCGACGCGGCGCGCGGCACGGTCCCGCCGGGTGAGACCCCCGGTAGCCCCGGGGGAGGCCCAGCGAAACGTAGCCAGCGGATGGTCGCCGCGAAGACGCGCCCGTAGGGTTAGCCGCGCCCCGGCGTCGTGTCCGGTGATGGGAAAGGTTATATCGCGGCCGCAGCCTCAGACCGCGGCCCGCCGATATACCCGCGCAGCATGGTGTGCGCTCGTTTGTCCTGGCGTCGATAATGTGGTGAAGAAACGGTGCTTCGGATTGCGCGGCACGCGCTCAGCCGAAGTACGGTGGGCCTACAGGCACTGCCCTAAGCCGTCGAACTCGTTCCGGACCCCTAGCCAGCCCGCAAGCGACCCAGCTCGAGGCGATCGGTTCGAGGACGACGGCGGTAGCTACTGGATGTAGCTTTCCATACTTCGGCCAAGCGGATCTTTTATCCAAAAAAGACGGCTTAGCACGACGGTGGGCACGTGTGCACGCGGCTGCAGGTAGCCGTCCACGATTCGGGCAGAACTTAACCGTCATCCATAGCGTCCCGTGCTGTTGCTCTAACAAACGGAGCTACCGAGTTGTCAAGTTGCTTGGTTAGAGCAATAGCACGTACCCATGCCGGTTCAAAGCCTAGTCGAATTTTTTTTTCAATTTATAATCGATTTTTTTTATTTAAATTTCAACCGTTTAATTTTAAGACGATAGATCTGACATCTCGTGTAGAGTGGAACTAGTAGACTTAGGCAGACGGTTCACAAAGTAAATTTTAAATTAAGCTACGAACTGTTTCAAAAAATACAAAATGGCCGCCAAAGCCGCATACTTTTATAAATTAAATTAGTCTAGATGGCACCACATGCTCTTATAAAAAAATGTTTGCCTAAAATAATGCAAATTGTATAATAATAACTTTGTGTTTGTCTCGTTCAAATTATCATGTTTTTGGAAACAGTTTCTACCAAAGGTCCAACAGAAGTCAAGTCGTCGCTTGGACCGAAGTTATAATAAAATATATACGTATAACAACAGACTAGTTACAAGAATAATGTTTTAGTCATCGAATTAACACTAATTTACACGGAAAACAAATACAATTACACGAGATCCTAACGAAATATTTGTAAGGACTTGAACTTTGATCGTTACTGCGTTGACATTGATTTCAATTATTGAGATTATATATTTTACTAGCGACCCGCCCCAGCTTCGCTCGGGTGCAATGCAGATACTAAATACACTACAGATAAACTATGAACGTATATAACTTTCCTCTTAATCAGTTTTAAAGATTTAAGCGTACTTACATAGAGACAAAAAAAGCGACTTTGTTTTATACTATGTACTGATTAGTTAGTTGCCGCTTCTGTAGCCAAATGGATAAACGTGTTGACTAGCATTGCGTTAAGTGCGAGAGGTCCTAGGTTCGGGGCCAAAAAAAAAAATTTTTCGGTTGGGGCGGGCCGGGGAGGGTGGAACCCCCCCCCCCCGGTTAAAAAACCTTTGGGGGGAAAGGGCCGGGGGGGTTTTTTTTTTTTTTTTCCCGAAAAAAAAAATTTTTCCCCCCCCCAAAAGGGGGGGGGGGGGGGGGGGGGGGGGGGGGGGGGGGGGGGGGGGGAACCCCCCCCCCGGGGGGGGGGGGGGGGGGGGGGGGGCCACCCCCCCCCCCCCCCCCCCCCCCCCCCCTTTTTTTTGGGGGGTGTTTTATTTTATTTTTTTTTTTTTTTTTTTTTTTTTTTTTTTCCCCCCCCCCCCCCCCTCCTCTTTTTTTTTTTTTTTTTTTTTTTTTTATTGCGAGAGCTCTTAGGCTCGGTTAGTTTTGTCTTGTCCTTGTCTGTCAGTAGATAGATAGATAACAAATGCACTTTGTTCAAAATATGAAAGTGTAAGTTGTTCCTACGAGTAATTGTGATATTAAATGATAGATAGCTGGATTAATTCTGATTAAGTTTGATAATCATATAGACAATATATAGCGGACATAGATCCAGATTTTTCTATTCATTATTTAATAACACTTCAACGAATACATACGTGTCGATATTGTTTTAGGATTTTTAAATTTACCGTAAGGTGAGTTGTTAACGGTTTAAAACGCGAAATATATCAATAAGTTTACTTTTAGCTGCTTGTTATATAATACCGGGTCATTATTAAAAATAAATTATATACTAATTTACTTCACGTTACACTTCAACGAATTCATACGTGTCTATTGTTTTAGGATTTTTAAAAGTACCGTAAGGTGAGTCGTTAACGGTTTAAAACGGGGAATATATCAGTTAGCTTATTTTTGCCGCATTTAGAATAATAGGTTAATAATTAGGTGTTTAGTTCTTGGTCAAATAATCCTAAATAACTCGAAGGAGAGTGTTAAGTATTAAAAAAATACGTTTACCCTATTTTATTCAGTTTAAGTAGATTCAATAATTTGAAATAGGGAACAGTGATTATTTGAGCGTTTATTATATTTTTTTAAGAAAACTGTAAGTTTTTATTAGTAAAAGCAAAAATATAACAAATACTTGTATTTTGTTTGCTTTCTACTGTAAAGTATTATAATAGATGTAAGTTTGACTATACTTTTATTCTTGTCTCTGAAATATAAATAACGACCCTTTTTAGTGTACATTAAGTGTATATTTTGTGAAGGCTAGTAACGCTCAAATTAGCTCAAAACAAATGAATGGTGCTTTTCAAATTGTTAATTTTTTCCCTTACTTCACTCACAAACGGTGCAACGTGAAGTCTTGTTTTTTTCTGTTGGAGTGTTTCTACCTGTCTTGTAAGTATGTAAATATTTAATCCTATTGTTCAAATAAGATTATCGTTGAATAGTTTATTTTAACACTAGCCGTGTCAGCGACTTCGGCCGCGTAGAATAGTTACTTTGGGCAACAAAATTTGTTTTTGCAAACCTTCTCCTTAAATTTAAATTTAAGCTAACCCACGACGTAATCGTCCCGTTGGTCTAGCAAGTTTATCTTTAAAAATTTGGGTGGGGGTTTTTTTTTTTTTTTTTTATCTTAAAGTTTCAGTAAAGATGAAAATTTTCCCCCGTTTTATTTTCACATTTCCCGATGTCTTTTCGCTCCTATTAGTCGCAGCGCTGTTTTATAACTTAAAGCCTCAATAAATGTTCTAACCAACACAAGAATTGTTCAATTCGAAGCAGTAGTTCCTTAGATTAAGGCGTTCAAACAAACAAACTCCTCAGCTTTATATATGAGTATAGAAGTATAGATTAATTTCTAACGTCAAATCGCGACTATAACATTGTAATCTATAACCTTGAGTTTAATAGATGTAATAATATTTATAATAACATTTGTGTAACTATTTTTTCAGACTGTTCAAAGAATCAAGAGGACGTTAAATATGGTGTGAGTTAGATTCAAATTATTTGCTATATAAGTGATTCTGGTTCTTGTATCCTATTTTATGCAAAGACCTAATTAGACAACGAGACGCGAATACTGTCTTTTCTCATGAGAGAGGAGGCAAGAAGGCTTTCGCTTTTTTGTAGGTGTCCTACCCCGCGACGTAAAAGTGCGCTATTACCTATTTGGCTTCCAACCGCGAGAGCTAGCCATTTTGGTGGTTCGTTCGGACGAAAAAATTGGCTAAAAAAATGTTAGACTTGATGGGGATCGAACCCGGGACCCATTATTGGCTATCTACTATTGCATCGACGATCCCGTCAATAGCTCTTCTGCGTCAGAAACCTAATTAAAATAATGATAAAAAAATTACAACTTTTTTTTGTTATTTCTCAGGATAAAGAACCAGGTTAATAGAAGTAGTGAAGTCATTAGAAATGGGAAGGTTTCCTCAAGGTGAGTACATAATTTACCTAACATACCGATTCTAAGTATTTAAAACCTAAATAAAACGGTTAAAAACGTGAAATATATTACTTAAGATTTTACATTTATAAATACGGCACGACGTTGCGGATGCTTTACAGAGGTCGTACTCACGCGTTGTAAGCGTTAAAAGTGTTTTATTTAAATGTTTACAACGCAATTGCAGACAGTCTGGATACAAAGTTGTTTAATTCCTGTAAGAATGTTGTGGGCGGGTCAAAACTGTGTTTTTCTAAGAATTAGGGTTTTATACACAAGTAAGAAATTTTATCCAGGATTAAAAAAAATAACCTTAATGTTGAAACAACGTTGAGAAGTGCATGTATTAGGTAGAATTAAAAGTTTAGAGGTTTTTAGGTCAAAAGGTTAGAGCAACAGCACGGAACGCTGTGGACGCCTGTTCAAGGCCTGCCCGAGTCGTAGTTTTTTTCAATTTTAATCGTAATCTATACAGAGTCGAACCACGTGAACAGATGGTAACGCTACGTAAAATTAATTTATTGAACTTTGTACGTCGAGAGAAATTGAACCGCCAGCCCGTTTATTAGTGTCTCCCCGTACACGGCTATAGCTTCGCAAGTAGTACACATCCGAATAAAACACTTTAACGGTTTAAAACCGAAAATAGTTAACTTATTTAAATGATTTTCCATTGAATTAAGTTTAACGAATATATCGCGTTTTAAACCGTTAAAGTGTTTTATTTAAACATGTGTTATCATTCAAATAACGACATGTGATTTTGTTTTTTTCAGTTCGGACAGTTTACTTCCAATTCGCTTAGCTGGCAACATTCTTCTCTTCACGGCTCATGGCATCAACATAATAGTTATGCATTTGGCATTACAGGATTTGAAGGACAAAAACCTTATTATATTCAAATCGTTACAATGGAAGTACATTACTATATGGAATTTGGTGAGATACGTTTGAAAAATATTTATATAGAAATATTACTTGCACGGGATTTGAACCCACAGCCTACCCGTAAACATTGTATCGAGTTTAAACTTTATAATTTTGTTCACATGTTCTGCACACGATGGCACTATATAATAAAAAATCGATTAAAATTCCGTTCCGCACTGTTGCTCTAGCGCTGTCGATGCCGGTTCGAGTCCTGCTCGAGCCGTAACTTTTTTCGATTCATAATCTATTTGTAATATTTGTAGTAGACACTAATGTGTGTCTGATGAGCACCTACTTACTAAATGATGTAATATACTTCGCGGGCTTTGAACCTGCTATCAGTAGAGGCAAAAATAAACGTTGACGACGTTGCTGTGTTAAAATGAATTTTAATTATTAACTAATGTTTTTATACTAGTTTTGATTTAACAAAATGTATATGTTAACTTCGCGTCTTAATATTTCAAGGTTTTAAATTTACAATCTACAGAATTACATCTCGGGAAAATCCTTGAGCTGCCATATTTTTCGCGTTTATATAGTCGCTTTTAAAACAAAACATTACGTAAAAAAAAAAAAAAATTAAATAAGCAATTATATTATTTTTAATGATTCCCCCTGGTAAATTAAGTATTATAATTATGTAAACAACAAATTAAAAGTTTAAAGTAGCTCACAATACTAAATAAATAAGTAAAATAGTAACTCCAATTCTTAACAATAACGACAATAGTGAACTGTATTCAAAGACAACATTGTAATTAATATAGATCAAGGCGACCCGTTGTGCATACGAAACGTCGGGTCATTGTTAAAATAAATTAGGTAATAATTTCACGTTTCTAACCGTTAAAAGCGTTTTATTTCTCTCGCCCCATCTACGTAGATAATAAATAAAAACCAATCAACGTGAAACGATGAAGATATATTTATAACCTTATCTTTACCAGATAATACAAAAAACGTTCAGTGCCCAGGTTCGAGGTAGACATATAACTGTGTCCGTTTTATTGATAGATTTATAAGCATGTAGATAATCATCGCTGTAGAGTAAACGTCCTTATTTTATCAAAAATTACATTTTAAAAAATCAAACAATTCTTTATTGTTTGTTGTACAGATAGAGTATGACCCTAGTGGTGGGTGACTATTTTCTTCCAGGTTACTATAAATATCTTAAATCCAACTTATGTATACTATAATATATGAATTATATATTTTGCTTGTTTATTTAATTCGATTTATTCTTTTTCAGACCTTTCAAAATATCTACCTCTTAGGCTGTATAGCGTGCGATCTATCCACCATGTTTAAGATCTTCGACTCGAATCCCTTTTTGAAACAAATGAAGCGGTACAGAACAACGTATTTTGCGGCAGTCCTGTGGCCTACAAGTCTTGTAAGTTTTAAATTACAATGCGCAAGAGTTGCATTTATCAATAGTTTGATATTCGACGATGACGAGTAGGACGCGGTAGCTCAATTTGTTAGAGCACGGAACGCTGTGGACGACGGTTCAAGTACGGCGGTGTCGTAATTTTTTTTCCATTTATAATCGACTTTTATAAGTATTAAACTTAACTAAGAGAATAATTTTCGATAAAAATATCATTTGTTTAGTTCTTTTCCTACTGCTAGGCATAGGCATAGGAATAGGATAGGTTCTAAAACTGCTCAAGTACTGCTCAAAGTAACACTACATAGTGATGATTAAAAGCATTTTTTATGATAGAGAAGGGCAGACAAGCGCGGCGTCCACTTGATGGTAGGTGAGATACTCCAGCCATATATCATACAAGGTACGCTGTCAACCTATTTTGGATTTGGATATTCAGAAATCTACAGACTGAAAGCGAAAACGAAATTATTTTGAAGCCTTTACGCTATATAACATCACGCTGTGACCTATAGGGGTAAAGCAACAGTTGGAAATGTAGAACGAACGGGGAACATTTTTCTTCTTTGTGTTCTGTTGCGTACGCTGCGAGAACGGTTCAAGTAACCCGACAATTTGTTTAAAAGAACGATTCCTTTTTATATGACGATTTTATATGACGTCGTGGGTAACAGCTAGAATGTATAAATTGTAAATACAATTTAAAAATCCAAAATCACTGTTCTTCGCGAACATAGTCGCGGGCACAGCTAATGCTAATAGAATTAAGTAAGTTTCTTGTCAATTTTTTTATTATCATCTGCAAATTACCCTTATTCTTTTCAGGTGGTCTCCGTGTTGTTCTGGCCTATTTTCTTTTACAATAGAGAACTTGTATTCCCTTCCTATATTGACAAAGTACTGTCTTTGGGGTCGAATCATATGATACACTCCTTCATAATTGTCGTGAATGCGTGGGAGCTGGTGCTTTTGCCAAGAAAAAGGCCGGCTACACATAAGACAAATTTCCTAATCATGGCTGTCATTTATGTGGCTTATTTCACTTTGTAAGTACAAGCGCTTGGTGCCGATTTATTTTGTTATTGGAGTTTGAAAGTTAAGTATTATACCTTAAAGAAAGAAAAAGAAAAACAGCGATCAATTATTACTAAGAAGTCTTTAATAAAATTGTCTTAATCTATTTTAACAACGGCACGACGTTTCGGATGCTTTGCAGCAGCCGTGGTCACGGAGGGATTGATCCAAAACGTCCGGCCGTAGTTAAAAGAAAATGAAAATAAATTTGACTAATAGATTCGGCGTTTTAATCCTATAAAAGTGTTTTATTTACATGTGTACTACTCTTACTCGTACTAAACTACAGACGGCGTTTAATTAAAATTATAATCTTTCAGGATGATAACGAACTACCACCGCACAGGAATTTGGCCCTACCCACTCGCTTATGACTTATACGGAACCATTTATTTCCCCCTACTTATGCTGGGAATACTGATTCTACAGATTTTTTCGTATTTCATACAATGGCCTCTTGTGGATCTCTGTCATGGATCTAGGAAGAAAGTTGATTGAGCTTAACGTCATCTCTTGGCCAAAATTTAAACTAATTAAACCATGTTTGTGATATTAGGAAATATTATTAGCTCCAAAAACAAGACAACACAGCACGATAAAGAAAAATATAATCAAGGTATGCTTAAAAAAGATAAGATTTTGATAAGACTCGTATTTTTGAGTATATATTTTTATTTTTGTTTAGTATTAATAGCGATTCAATTTTTAAATTATTATATACTAAATACTATAGCTAATATATCGCGTTTTAAACCGTTAAAGTGTTTTATTTAAATATTATATATTACTTTATCACGCGTGTCTGTATTGCGTTAAGCACGAGAGGTCCTGGGTTCGAATCCTGGGAAACAATATCTTGTGTCGGGCAAGGCACCGAAGTGTGATCAACTACTTACCTTGTTTTAGTTTTAATATTTTTCACATAAATCAAACTGTTTGAAACGGATATAGAAATGTGTTTACCCCATACCCCACGAGGGGGAACGGGACTTCACTTTATTACAATTCGGGAATAATTATAGCTAGACTTGTATTTCTTTTTAAAATTACATCTCTTCGCTTGTAGACATCCAAAACTGTTGTTCTATCTACGATAATTTAATAAATATTTGCATTTATCAACGGGTTTGAATTTGTATCCTATTAGCTATGAAATAAAACACATTATTGCAAGTGATTCGAGAATAATAAAAACAATAACATTTATTTTACTATTGGTTCTCAAAAATCCCCTCCGTCTACATAGGTACTTTAGTTTGTAATTTCACAAATCAACAAAGCCTCGGCAGAAGTTAACCGAAAAATCATTTCATTAGAAACTAATGAACGGAAATTTTCATTAAACGATCGAAAAATGAAACTCAAAATGTTCAGATATTTCGGTTAGCTTTCGCGTACATTATATTAAGTTATATATTCTGTTTTTTACATAGATATAATATGTTTTTTTATATTTTGTTACTCTTTAATATGTTCAGGTAATGTGTAAAAATACTTCAGTTAACAAATTAATATTTTTTTTTATAATATAAAATAATTATCTCATAGAAAACAAGATATAAAAAATTTTCACTATTCATGATCGAACACCCAATATCGGCGGGTATTGTATAAAATAGAAGCTCTATTCGAACGAAAAAGAATTTCAATTTTGTTGTAAAAACACGTCAAACCCCGCTACCGTTCGCTTCTCGAAAACCCTAACATTATTATGTGTCCAAATCTATATTAACGTTTTAGTGAAAATTTTGCAAAACATAGTACAAAAGTTTTTTTTTAGAAATATCTAATAAAAACTACCCAGCGACTTATGTATCTTTACCCTATAACTATTACTACCGCACTGGAGCGGGACGGCGGATGCACGCGTCCCGCTCGCACATCTCTGCACCAATCACAAGTCTACATTACAAGAAGTATAGAATGGACACATCGTCTCATACAGGCTTTTGAAATTTTGTATAATGATCTCTTGAAAATAAATTCGACGTTCGCTCAGCCGCGCCTCAGAATCTGAATTCCCTCAAATTATCAATAATACTAACATACCGCGGTAAAATTATTGCTAACTAATAATTAACGATTCGTAAATTATCATAACATGTAGGTACTCATTAGTTTTGTACTTAGATAGGTGTTATAAATAATTAACTTTATATGAATCCAGATTCAACTCTTGCGACAGGCTTTAAATTTCTAGACGGTTTTTTTCAATATTTAGGCAAAAAGCTTTACCGTTCCCCAATTATTTCAGTCTTAGTGCTCTAATTATTTTTTCGTGCACATTTTTATACGAGTAATGTCTAATTTTTGATTTCGATAAACATCCAAATAAACTCTATTTAAAATATATCGGCCCCGGAAGGGACAACTAAATAAATTTGTATTTTTTTTAACAGACAATCATGGGGATCGATCTATTTGAAAGTCATATTAAACAATTGATTACAAACATAATATGTGCTTCTTAATGTAAAGTATGATATATAATATACAACACATTAACGGTTGATAATTGTAATATTTTTAGGTACAAATGTAGGCAAAGCTTTTCGATAGAAATCATTTTTCTACGATCAAAAGATATGTGTATTGTTTTAAACCAATAAATACAGTACGTTTCAAATACTTTACGTGCGAAATATGTGAACAATTAAGTCATAGATGATATAAAAATTAGACATTACTCACTATCGCCAAATTAATATTAACTAACACATCTAATCATGTGCATCTAAGAATAGAAAAACGCAATTACAATACAATATTAAAATAAGAGATATACTATATTATTTATTTGTCATATTACGTAACAAGGATTACTTCTCGAAAAACAACGAACCGATATCTGCAACAGTATTTTTTAAATAATATCGTGAACCACCCGTATATTTTTAATCTATATGTTCTCACTATTAATGCATGATTAACACTATTATATCGAGAAAAACGAGAATCTCAAACGTGGAAACTAAAAGTAAAATGAAAAACAAAAATATAAATAAATATATTTTTTATTCAACGAAAAAGAAAATATAAAATAAAACAAAACGAATAGACAATAACAGATTGCTTTATTAACAAAAAATATATAATATATAGAAAGATAAAAACAACATTTTCACACGATCTCGATTCCGCGACACATTGTTGAAAATCTGTTTTTTTTTTTATTATTTTATATAATTTTAATAGAATGTAAAAATTAAAAATAACCCATCGAACCTTATATGACATTTAATATAAAATACATATGATTATTAACTATTTACAAAATACGTGTTAAGATTTATAAGTTTTAACATTAATATAAACCAGTCTATAGTAAAGGCTATTTCGAAACTTAGCGTAGTGTTAGAAAAATTGATAATTATTAATAATTCTAAATAACATAGCAGGCAATTTGTATTTCCAAATTAAAAAGAGTTACGTTCATCCGAAGAAGCGATCAGCTTAGATTACGTATACATCGAAGTCAATAAACTTTGTGTAAAATAATACGATAAAAAATAATCAATAAAAAATTATTATGCGTCGTGTGTGCATTCAATTATTATGAAAATCCAAACATGGCACCCAAGCGAAGAGAAGTGCTCAAATGAGATCAAAAAATCATACCGAGAAAAAGAAATTGCCTGCTAAACAGTTCAAAATAGTTTGACTGTCACGAGTCGTTAATTCAAGAGTCAAATCTTATTAAACGCGACGCGGGTAATGTCATATAAGCTACACAGAAGAGGTTTACTATACTCGAGAATAATTTATAGCCATAACATAAATATAAGGGAATGTCGCCTTAATAAGATTTGAGTATTCTAATAATAATGATATAATACAATCGGTCGAATTTTGTTCTTTACGCAACTTATTAATAACGTCAATAATATTCATAAATTTTTCTTCGCTTCTGTGTTCGACACCTCCGTTAAAAAGCTAAAGAAACTACAAAAAAACGGGCAGTATTCCTATATTACATAACCTTAAATCGAAATAAAAAAAACGTCAATATTAATAATCATTTGAAATAAATAACAAGTTACTTTAAACTGTTGTAATAATTATATAAAAAAAAAACCTATCGTTAACCGTTTCGCTAAAGGAAAAACATTGTGTGATCTTTATGTCGCTAAATAACTTCTTTATTTATTTCTTAATAAAAACTCTATTACTATTATTATATCTTTATATAATAATTATTATTATTCCATCGTCAGTGTTAAATTATGATTATTGCCCGCACGATACACAAGAAAACGGAAAAGGATTTAATTATGCATTCGTAGACGAGTCCCAAGAGTTACAACGACCCGACGGCAAATGTACCCGACGGGAAAAATTTGACCCGACGGCAAGTCTGCACACGCTTAGACACGAATTAAATAAACATTTATAATATACGTACGTAAATAACATTGTAACAGTCTCAATGTACATACATACAATGTATAAATATATAACAATTGCGTGCAGAGGTCATCGGTCGGGGTGATGACGAAATGAACCAAGTCTTTGTGTCTCATGCTTGAGATCGTGTTACTGGTGCGTGTAGTCTAGCACGTTGTCTAGCGAGAACAGTTCCTTGTAAAGAGCCGGGAACGAGTGATGCGGATGTGCGGCTTTGAAGCGGCAAAGAGCCTCCAAGTGCATCAGCGACAGTTCTCTGTGGAGAGAAATGTGTTCGTGAAGACGGTACCTCGGTAGAGCTTAAATCTATACAGATAATGTAATGTACAACTACCCACAGGATGTGGGAGAGTAGTCGCTGAACTTTTAGTTTTTGTGCCGTACTAAGACCTCGACTTAGTAGGGATCACTCGACGCCGTAAAAAAACATTATAGCTCAAATTTTTTTATGATAGAAGATGACAGACAAGCTCGGGGTCCACTTGATGATAGATGAAATACCCTAGCTTATAGCATCTAAACAAGATGGGCTATCGACCTATTTTGGCTATGAATATTCGGAAGTCCACAGACTGAAACTGAAACGTAATTAAACAAACGTAATAAAGCTTCTTCATGTGTGGACGTTGGGTCGCGACCATCGCGATGTTCCTACCACCCATTTCTGACATATGTTGGTCTTCGTCTGGGGATATACCCCAGACGAAGACCAACATATGTCAGAAAAATTATAAATTGATGATGATCAACACACCAAAGTCCACCAAAATGCATAACATAACGTAAACTGTTAAGAGATATGAGTACACTGTGACACACTTTTGTGTCTACTTTACTGCTGAGTTGGCTGATGGTCGAGGAGATATCAAGATATGTTTTATTATTTATTTTTTTCCTTAACTTTAGTGATACTCATTTGTAAGTGGGTATACCTGAAGGTGGGTATCTTGGCGAGCAGCGTGTCCAGAACCGTGACGTCACCCTTGATGGGGGCGTGGTTGGTCTCGATTTCGTGACGCATCGCAGCCATCGACATGTTGAATAAGCATTGGATCTCCGAGTTGCCGCGGACGTTGTGCCGTTCTGGGGAAGGGAATTTGTGATCAGGCTAATAATATAATATACGGTATAGGCCCATTTTAGGCCACGAGTGAACAGGTGTTCAGAAATATTTTACGAAAAAATGTTAAGATATATGCTATAAATGATATTATATTATTTAAACGGTTTAAAATTTAACGGTTTAAAACGCGATATATAAGTTAAACTTATTCGAAAATGATTTTTAACTTCGGCCCGACGTTTATATAGACAGTATTATATTATTTTTATTTATATAAAAAAATATTAATTATACATATTTATTGATGAATTTCATAAAAAAAATGTAAGTACTAGGAATGTAGAATGTTGCGGTTGTCTAATATCGCGTTTAGTACGAGAGTAGATCCTATGTTCGGATCCTAGGGAAACAATATTTTTTAGGTCTTGCAGAGCACAGAAATCTGATCAACAATTTTCTTGATAAAATTACTGCTATAGTGCCATCTTCTTTATGATAAATTTAGTCTTTGACATCTTAAGTCCCCCAATGACCACGGCTGTAAAACATCCGAAAAGTCTTACCATAGTTAAAATAAATTATATATACGTTCTAGTATATTTTGCGTTTCAAGCCGTTAAAAGTTGTACTAAACGTGTTAACAGATATTTCTTACCCTATACATAATAAATATGTTTGTATTATTTAAGCCATGCCTGCAAAAACTATAGTTAAGTTCGATAGACCCTTCAAGTAATAAAGAAGTCAGTGGTACCAACCTGGCCACAACAACACAAGGCTCTGATACAAAGCCAGTTCAGTCTCCGTTAACTTCAGTCTCGCGATCGACTTTGCGACGTCAAATATTCCAGATACGAGGGCCATGTCTCGAGGGTCACTGAAAAAAACAACCTTAGGTTAGGATATAATTTTTCATTACAAAATATTTATAAATAGATCTTTCATGAAATTCTATATTTCAAAAATTGAATATATAAAATTTTCACACTTGTCACTGTATTCAAAGACTGTGATAGGAACTCTGAATGGCTGAACGAAAAGAAGGACGCTCTCATTGGAATAACAACGAAACAAGATGTGCATGCATGATGTCGACCTGCTGTGTAGCTTTGAATATTATATATAATAATAATTATTAGATTTTGGAAGTTGAATATCATGATTCTGGATTTAATCATGATCAGATCAGTCAGTCAGATCCAAAAGTCAAAATGACATTTGGATCTAACTGTGGGACATACAAGCTTACTTAAATTTAATTCAACTCACCGTGCGTGCACGCACTCCCGAATGGGTAGAACGACGTCTCCATACAGCACCTGTTCTCTGTTGATATCTATCAGTCGTGACAGACGGACGATTGCCAGCTCGAACGAACCTGAAACAAAAAAAAAAATTAACTTCACCCGAGAACCGAACTAGTGATATCGCAGTCACCGGTCATACCAAACAATATGAAAGTATTTTCATCGAACACTTATATTGGTTCCTCCAAACCTATGTACTATTACTATTTAAATGTTATTTACACGTCTTGAAACGTTACTCAACCAACTTCATTAATAAATTAAACTAGTACTGCAGCTCTAGTCAGCGTTACCGTGTACGAAGTGGTTAGAGCAATGCTCGGCGTGGATGCCGGTTCGAATCCCGCCTGTGATGATTTTTTTTAATCTAACTAGATTTTTAATTTATTAATGAAGTTGGTTGTGTAACGTTTCCAGTTGTCACCGGTTCAAATCCCGCCTGTGACGTAATTTTTAATCAAAATAGATTTTTAATTTATAAATGTGTCACTGTTCCACCTACCTGACTTAAGCAGTAAAATTTGATCGTCTTGGCTCAGCTTCATGAAGCCAGGAATGAGTTTTGCGAACTCAATGATGTTCTGTATCATCGCTGTCAGCTTGTCTGCGCAGTCCAGCCACATCTCCTCGTACGTCATTGAGTTGTAGAATAATAGCCTGTGGAAATATCGTTTAATAAAATGAAACCGAACTTTAATTCTGGAGACCAAGACTGACTTTGGGTCGCTGCGCAAGGCGACTAAGTAAATAAGTAAGTAAGTAAGTGTCTAAGTAAATAAAATGAAAAAGCCAATCACTATATAAATAGCATAACTATCCGTTTGTTCATCCTAATCTATTTATAAAAATAACCTTTTAACGGTTTAAAACGGGAAATGTTTCAGTTATTTACAATTTATTTTAACCCGACATCTCGGATGCTTTAATAGATCATGATAAACAGACGGGTAGGTATGCTATTATATTATAGTAATAGGCTTTGTAATTTTATTTACTTACTTACTGTATGTATTATTTAAATTGAAAATTAATGACGTAGCCAGTAGAAATCTGAAAGTCACAACCGTTCTGCAACCTTATGCTTACAAAAGAGTCTTCTTTTGGCACCACTTTTATTCAAATTAAATTTAATCTTGTCGTATTTTTTTTTGAAGAATGTCAAAAGAGAATTATTATTATTTATTATGTACATATAAATTTCACTTACTTAGGCACATCCGGTGGCTTTCTAAACATCTCGTGTATAAATTCCAGCTTTGGATTTGTGTTTGCGTGAGCTTCGGCTAAGCTCTTCACCAGCATCTTGCTCAGGTCGCCTTCAGCTGGAAATAAAGAATCATTTTAAACCGTTAATAACGTGAAAGTTAACTTTTTTTTCGTGTACTACACAATATTAGGTCATCTTGAAATGTAAGGTTTAAATAGACATAGAAATATGTCTATGTAGACATTCTGATACAGCCACTGCCCGTTTGCAGCTGTGTGTTTCCCCGGGATTCGAACCCAGAACCCATTAACCAAATAGTGTGTTTTAGCTATGGTAAGATAATAGTGAATAATTCTACAAATATACATAGCACTACCACAAGCAAAATAAAACATTTTAAAAAACATAACAGAACTCTTTCAACAAAGAATTTGACAAACAACGAAATTAAAAGAAAAACAATAATCAACACTTTGATAGATTTTTGACGCCCAAAATGTTAATAGAATTCTTACAATTCAATTAAACCAATAAATATGGACCCGCTATCGTTTATTTTATTAGGGACATGTATTGTTGCTTGTTGGCGTAAGAAAGATCCATTTTTTTATGTTAGAGGAGGACAGAAGTATAGTGCACTTGATAGGTGTAACACTCCAGCCGTGTAAACAAGATTCACTGTCAACATATTTTGGCTACCCACAGATTATTTTGGTTCCTACTATCCATTCACCAGATTGCCAGACGAAGTCCAACATGTTTAATTATAAACTGGGTGCCCGGGTGGGGATCGAACCCACGCTGCTATAGATTGCTACCATTACACCAAGGAGTCTTTACAATGACAAATTTTCCTCAATTGAACTGAAATTACAATGTTTCTTTTCAGCGTGCTTTTTACCGTGTTGTCTCGCATTACCGATAATTCCTTATCCTCTGTTTATTATAGAATCGAACAAGCATATGGACAATAAAAGACAAGTGAGAAATTATTTTCCTGTATATGTCAATTAAAAGAAATGAGGCTACTAGAGCCAGAGTGGCCTAATAACATAAAACGTGATTTTTAACTTAGGCGAAATTGAATTTCTTGAAGTCCTATTATTTGTGTAAAGATACGTGAACAGTTTTGTACTCTTGTAGCTTAACATTTTTAGAATAAAAATATAAATAAGTCATAAAATTGTAGTTAGGCCACTCTGGCTCTAGCGTGTGTGTGTGGCCTCATGTGTGTGTTGAATGGTAAACTTCGATACAATTTAGACTAGAAACATAATATTTATAAGCAGAGGTAACAACTTTTAACTGTATAAAATTTATAACAACATTTTTAGATGGACAGTCGATACTACTATATTTGTTTGACGAAGAGTGGAATTTTCCTAAGGAAGAATAAGGACTACGAAAAGTTAGATTAGAGCCCTTTTCATGTAATTTCTACGCTTATATTTTGCATAAATCTTTTGGCATTAAAATACAATATTAAGTCTATAATTTGTGGTGTTTAAAATAACTTAAAAACAATAACACAAGCGAAAAAAGTGTAAAACATAATTAACAAAAACGGAATCTTCAAGCGTCTAAGACAAAAATAAATTACTACTACAAGAATTTCGATGATTCAAAATGTTATTAGACTGAGTGTTTTATTGGCGATTGACATGAACGAGACATTTATAAATAAAGTTTCGTGTAAATGTACGGGCTTCTTGTTAGTATTATTTCAAAATGTAATTTAAAAAATACTAATACTCCTGTCGCCGGCAGAAGTAAAAACAAAAAAGCTTTGTTTTTTTTTAATATTTAGAAGTGCATCGCTTCACTTCATATAAAAATAGTGTGATCTTATACAAATAATTGTCAATTTTTAAAGTGTACTCTATCGCCTTCTAGGGATTTTTATTTTACGCGAGTTAAACATTTTTTACTCTTTGACAAGGTAGCTCAATTATCTAAAGCGACGGCACGGAAGGCAGTCAGTTCGAGTCCCGCAAGTGTCTTAAATTTTTTCACTCTAAAATCAGCTTTATCATATTTGTTTTACTTAGTATAAAAAAGTGCACAACGTTGAACACTGTCCGTAATTTACCCGAATAATACAAGTTTAAATAAAACAATTTAACGGTTTAAAATACTACATAATATATTAGTTAGAGGTATTTACAAATTATTTTAACTACGGCCAGACGTTTCGGATGCTTTGCAGCAACTGTGTCTATCCGTGACCGTAGTTTAAATAATTTGTAAATAAGTTTAACTGTTATATCCCACGTTTTAAACCGTTAAACCGTGTTTTATTTAAACGCACAACGTTGTTAAAGATGATTGCACTAATGGTGTTTCTTTTTTACTTATTTACTCGTCGCGAACTAAGCCCTTGTTGTAAGGATTTCTTATTTATACAAATTTCATATGTCAATCGCAAATAAAACAGCCAGTCCAAAAACATGAACTCACACGGCAGATCTTCGCTAGCGCTGGTCCCCTGTCTCCTCGTCACCGCGTTTGGATTCACCATCCCCATACCAGAGATATTCATGTTCAAAGGATCCAGCATTCTGTGACTGCTGGATGTCATATCGTCTGGACTCAACTCCTCGCTGGCCAGGGAATTCTGGCTCACTAGCACCGAGTTTTGTATCTCCATTGGGCTGTGCTGTATGTTCGATGGGCTGTGCAAGTACGTCGTCGAATCCACGTAACTGGCTACCAGGTTGTCCACTCCCATGGAGGTCTCAGGTTTGATCTCCTGTTTAATATTAATGACGCCACTGGATATGGAGGCAGGGGACTGTATTCGCTCCTCGTATCTGTCGAACTCCTGTATCCGACGGTTGTCGACGCTGACCGGTCGGATTGTGGATGTTGATGTGGATGTTGATGTTGTTGTTGGTGTCGGTCGGATTGTCGATTTCTGTTGTTCGTCTATTTCAGAATTTCGGTGTTAGTACTAAATGGGGGTATACTACGACTGTTTCCAAGATGATAAAATCAATTCGAGGTTATATTTAGAATCGAAACGTATCCAGAGATAATCCAATCGTTTTCCTAAGTATGTTGTTAAAATAAATATATTTATATCTGTATACCATAATTATTAGTTTTTACATATTAAGATTGTGTAAAATATTTTATCTAATAATTTATTTTTTGTTTGCCTGTTTGTTTGCGTTTTATATCCAATTGTAGCTGTCTATTAAATAAAACACTTTAAACGGTTCAAGATGCGAAATATATTATTTATTTCATTTTAAATACGGCCCGATATTTTTTGAATTTTAAACCGTTAAAATGTTTTATTGAATACATATATTGGAAAAAGTCAACTACAGATAATATTGTAGTACCAATTTTAAAACCCCTTTGTTATCGAACATACGATATTTATATTTTCGTTAACATAAGTGTACTCACCGTTGCCAATAAAATCTGTTTCAAGAAAACCGGCAGTCTGTTTCGGTTCGTACGTCGTCGAGTCGACATAGTCCGCCGACACATCGTACTGTTGTTGTGGCTGTTGGTGCAAACCGCTCATGTTCGATGTTAGGGTTGGCGCTGTGTTGTTGTAACCGTATGACGAGAGTGGCGATCCGTAGCCCGGGTAGCTAGAAAGAAGATATTGACAAGCCTGATTAAATAACACATACAAATAACAATTACAATTATCCCCCCTATAGTTTTTGGAAGGAGTGTACAACGCAGTCATACACCAGGCTCTTGGTCTAATGGTAGCAATGTAAGGCTAACCAACGGGTCATAGTTTTGGATTCCCACTGGGTCTAATCAATTTATCTTTTTTTTTAATGTTGGACTTCGTGTGAAAATCTGGATATTAAATGGATGAAATATCGGAATTTCACCCGGATCACAAACCACCGTCCACAGATGAAAAAGCCGTGAAGTTTGAGCGCTTCAGTTTCAGTCTGTGGATTTCGGAATCCAAGGCCTAAATAGGTTGACTAGACATCTTCCTACCATCAAGCGAACCCCAAGCTTGTCTCTCTTTCTATCATAAAAAGATAATTCTCTATTTCAATTAAATATACCAGTGCGTATAACGAGGCCCTCAAAAGGTCGTTAACGGGTAACAAAACATCACATCACTTATAATTCTATAAGCGTCTAATTATACTACCCACACAAGAACCGCACAGTACCGCTAGTCGATACTAGATGGCGGTATTTGCAGTACAGTTATTGCCGTGGAAAACGGGAAATGTAATGACAATGTCTGTGTTGACATCAATAGAAGTAATGAATTACAAGACATTTCTAACTGTTCAGCTTGTGACGAGCGCGTCTAGGTTATGTAACGGGAGGGTAGAAAAATGTCGGTAAAATCGGGGTTAGGAACGGTCGGTACAGTTACATCGCGGTTATGCAGTATCTGGTGGGAATTATCTATATGGCGTGCGGATTGTATTGCAAGTTAAGTATGTTTATAAACCAATAGTTTTAATATTTTCACATGCTATTGCACACGATAGTAGTTGACATATAGACAGAAGTTGACTTGCTATAGCGGGCTGCTTTAGACAGGTCGATGATGTGATTTAGTTCTGTTATTAAACAAAAGATGGCGTTACCCGTTGTAATGTCCGTGGAATTGGTCGCTGGAGCTCGGCGTCTGTCGTTGTGAGTCATACACTGAGTCTGGGGCGGCTTCAATTTGGGTGCGAAGTTGCACAGCTTTCACCTCCTCTTGCACTTTCTCGCGTTGCTTTTTTGACATACGCCCGAATTTGACAGCTGAAATGACAACCACCAAATTGGCTACATTCAAGCATTTTGACGATAAGAAGGCTTTATTCCTTAAAAGCATGTACTGAAACCACGCCTTATATTGATTTTTTATGTACCTCATAGAATTAAGGCGTTAAACATTAATCGTACAAAAGTCTTAATACTGTCCATTAGCAGAAAAAGAAACAAAGTTTTCACTCGCTATTCGAAATTTAAAATTGCTTTGTCCTTTTTTATTCAAATCACCTCACAAATACCTTGAAACCGCTACATACAAGTGTCGCTGTGTGCGTGAACCGTTTGTGTGTGTCGCGGGCATTGGCATACTGCCTAGTGGCACAACGAACTCGATGTACCTCTGACGTTACATGACGTATTGTATTACTACGTAAGGATGTCCCGTTCGGTAATTCGCGCTTAGGGTTACCAGATGAGAAAATTCAAACTCCCCGCTGATCTTACTGACAATACGTGTTTTAGTTTTGATTTTGTTATTTTACTTACTAATACAAGACATACAAGTTTACAGTGGCGAGAATGGTATTATTCATTTAGCCAGTTAAGTTAAGTTTGCGTTTAGACATATTTTTTTAATTTTTTAATTATTATATTTAACATGAATATACCAAAAATTTTATAAAACTAGATACGTCATTAAGAATCGAGTTAATCCATAGTTTTACTCATGTATTTTGTTTTAATAAATAAATTACAAGCTCTCTATGGCAACAACTCATCTTAATTTCGGCTAACATCTCATTACTTCGCGTCACCAGATTTAATCCCTAGATTTCCGGTGTCTGTGACATCTGGCATCCCAGCTTCTTAACTTCGCTAAGCGTAAAGACCTTTATAAATTGGCTGGGTTATTTTTTCGGTTGTCTGTGCTCCTTTGAAGCGTGCAATGACCCAACCATTCGAGATAGAGCTGTGACTTCCAACAAACCCGATGCGAATCGAGGTCATGTTATTTTGATATGGTATAGAGTAAAACCATTTTATAGAGCGCCTTGTTTCAGTGAAAAATGTAGGTCCGACGGGATCCTATATTTTGGTTTTATTTTAGAAACAGTGGTCTTTTGTTTATTGTACAATGGCTGTTCATGCGTAGCTCATAAAAGAAAATATGAAATGAAACATTATGCTTTTGTGTTCGACTGTACCATTGTTTACATACATATTTTGCTCTATTACAAATATTTTTTATATATTTATTATGCATTTTGACTTACATTTTTTTAAACTTATTTACACTTTGTCTATTTATTAGGAAGTAATTGAAATATAGATCTATCCGATTAAGATCGCAGCCCTAGTTGGCAAAAAAGTCTAATTATTCCTTCATTATTACATAACGCAATCAACTATGTGACTATATGTTACGTGTATACATAAAAAGGTGTTACGCTTTATGACTGCGTTGCACAATGCATAGTGATGGGACGATATATCGATATGATTACACTTGTTACAATCTGGGATGCTGTAAAGACTGTGTTAAGTTATAGATCATATTTTCATATATGCTATAAGGGAGGTATAGTCGACGAGCAAAAATAATATAGGACATTTTTTGTAACGCCGTTGGTACTGAAGTGTCGTAGTTTAAGGAAATATTAAGTTTGAGAACAACGTGATATATTTATTTTTAGTGATTTCTATTTAGTTGTCTCTGTGTTTATTAACTGATTATTTAATTCCTGCTTTGCAGGATGCTTTGCAGCAGCCGTGGTCACGGGGAGACACGGCTGCTGCAAAGCATCCGAAACGTCGGGCCGAAGTTAAAAATCATTTTCAAATAAGTTTAACTAATATATCGCGTTTTAAACCGTTAAAGTGTTTTATTTAAATGTGTACTACTCGCGTAAACTATTGACAGTATTTAATATAAGGTTAGTTAATTTCCGTTGTGAAGTGAATAATGAAACTATATACTTATCATTTGTATTATAACTATCGATATATCGATCTAATATTTGTGACAACACTAACGGTTACGTCAACTTACGCAATAAGCAATGCACAATACGGTCGGGCTGCGTCGCGCTATGCGACTGGTACACTCAGAAACAGCATTCTTTGTTGCAGTTATTGCGTGCGCGACTGTACTAGTTTGACTCGTCTTCGCGATTGTACATGTAACGCGTTTTCGGCGAAGGAAATACTTTGACATAAATACATATTTATTTGTTTATTGAATTAAAAAAATAATAATGAGAAAAAATAGTTTAATATGTCTTGTTCAGTAGACTATGTACAAGATGATTCGATATAAACACAAATAAAAATATACAAACATGAAAATAGTAAAACAAATCCTGTCTGTAGTTCAGTTCCTGTTGTAGGCCAGTTTCGCTAAATACCAACTTCGACGGAACAGATGGCGCTAGCGTAGCAATTTTTACTTTGACGTCAGAGGCATCCTCCATCAAGTCTCTACTACTACGGCTGCTCCAAGCATCCGAAACGTCGGGCAGAAGTTAAAAATAATTTTCAAATAAGTTTTACTAATTTAATTTCATGTATTAATGTGTTTTATATAATTAATGTGTTTTATTTTAATAGTAAACAAATTAAACCGAATTGTTGGTTGGTTCGTTACTAATTGTTTGTTTTTAAGAATGCAAGTAGTTCTAGGTTTGTCTGAACGTCAAAATTAATAAACACAAATTAACTCACAGAAGCAGCGCGCAATAACTAGTATATAAATGTAGTATTTATAAATCATTCCTTAGTCAGTGGTATGAGGAAGCGAACGTCAGGTCAACGACACCTTATCAGCTGTGATAACAGTTGTTATGTTACAATCATAGAGTTCAAATGATAAGGCCTTTTGCAATATTTTCTTTCGCCTTATCGAATTACTGGCTTATAATCGTGCGTTTGCGCGGGTCATTACCGACTGCGAACGTTGGGGTTTGTTGAGAAAATTAATGATAATGACAAGACCTTATATTAATAGATATTTTGTAATGTTTAATTTTAATTGCTTCCGTGTAGTTGTAAATAGAGGTTTTTTTTGATAATTTTGTGAGATGATTTGAAGTACCTTGAAGCAATTAACACTGAGAACTTGATAGATAGCAAGCGGTACACATTTAAATAACCACTTTAACGGCTTAAAACGCGATATATAGTAGTTAAACTTATTTGAAAATTATTTTTAACTACAGCCCGGCGTTTCGGATGCTTTACTGCAAAGCGTACATATCGCGTTTTAAACCTTTTTTTTTTAATTCTATTTACAGTATAAAGTAAAAATATAATAATAAAAAAACACTATCTAAAATCTAAAACACGAATTTGTTGTAATATTAATCAAAAAATCTATCAAAAGTACAGACACGTCAAACAATAGCAATGGACTTCTCAAATCTATCTAGTGGTTGAACTATTAAAGGACTAATGTTGAACTTACCATCGCGACTCATCCCCAATTTAAGACACTTCTGTAGGCGACAGTACTGACATCTGTTCCGATTGACGCGGTCCACCACACACGCCTTGTTCCGTGGACACTGATAGTTCACCACTGAAAAATTTAACTGTGTTAATAAAAATGATTTTGTGTGTGACCGACAAGCTGTAATGTGCCTGAAAACCCTATAATAACACCCTTTAAGATGTGTTGTTGACCTTTGGCAATCAACAGGTGGAAAATGACATTGTCTTCATTTTTCTATCGTTAGATGGATGTGTCTATAACTTTATGAACTGGGAATCGAACCCATTATCCGTTACTATTTAAGTAAAGAGCCCGTCTAACCCGGAAACTCAAGTTGAAATGACCTATATTTAGACATAAAATCTATCTATTCACTCCCCATTACTAAAAAGTATTGTAATTCTAATTTGTTGAATTAAATTTACTTAGTGAATCCCGTTTGCATTAGAACCTTCACCATTAAATAAGAAAGAATACCCAAAAAATCGTTACTACATAATGAACATTTAATTTGGTATAGATGGCCTACATGACGTCTTCTTTTCTTTTGATAAACGTTTTTATCTTTAATAGTTGTTTTTTAAATTGAAAATTCAGAGAATTAAATGATGTCTGCCGTCACACACCTGGAATATTTCTAATAAGGGCTTGGCGGGACTTTGAGCGGATGTGTATCGGCTTATGATAATAAATTCAAGTTGACTGATTGCCGATCGAGATATTTTAAGATTGTCCTTGACGAAATTGTTAAATGGAAACGAATGGTTCGCAACTGTTTGAATTTAGAATTGAGAAAATACAAATAATGATTCTATGTGAATTGAAAATAAATTGATTCGAATTTTGAAAATAAGTTTTTCCTCGTTTGAAATTTATAAATTCTTAGTTACTTAGTTTACAAGTTAGTTTATGTACAAGATGCATTCGGGAACGATAGTGGCAAAGTTGTGCGACTTGCCTACTTCCTAGTCCAAAAATTTACGATTTATATGAAATAGAAAAAGAGATATTAATAGAATTGGCAAACATAAACTTATGTTGTCTGAAGTGTATTTTTAATCAGTTACCTCTACACGCTACTTTTTCAACTAGCCCTGCCCGGACGAAACATTTTTAATATATTCCGTCGGGATTCGAACCCAAATACTCCCGCAATGACGTGCATCATCCACGAAGAAAAGTAGTGCCCAGGAAACTGATTCTGTCAAATTTTATTCTTATGAAGATAATAGCATTGTATATGTAAATAGTAATAGATACTGAAGTATAAGCATAAATTATATAAAAGTTGTTTCAAAAAAATCCAGTGATTCCAATTTACGATTATTAATCAGTGAGTGATGGAGAGTGAATAAGTGAAGCCGACCTGTGCTCTGTGAGCGTCTGAAGAATCCTTTGCATCCCTCGCAGGTGATCACTCCATAGTGGACGCCTGATGATTTGTCTCCACACACTTTGCATGGTATGATTTCGATTTGAGCTGCAACAAGAAAACAATACGTTAATAATCTGTGGCTTAAAACAATGGAACTCAAATTAGGTCACGGTGACGTTTGACAATTGACAATCTGCCAAATTAATATTGACATTTGTCAGAACATTTAAATGCCGTTTGCCTTGCGCAGTGCGGCTACTTTAGCCTTAGCAACACATTATATCGAACATAATTTTGTCAATGTCCTTATCACGATACATGAATGAAATACCGAATTCTAGCTTTGAGCCATTTTGCGAGAGTTCATCGACCCCGGCAAGGTCGGAGCAGGGTCATCGACTGCTTCCTTGTATGTGTGCGTAGTAATTACACACGCAATGTTCAACCTTAATCTGTGGTACTTAGGTTGACAGTTCTGTATTCAACAACGCTACTTGATCTGTCAATTCAAACCTTGTATGTAAAGATTATATTAATTTTTGCATTAGATGTGAAATAGCTTAATAATGAATGCATTTATTATTTGTTTAATTAAACAATGGTTTAAGATTGTATTTTAATATTCAATTAATAAAAATTGAATGGGATAGAATATAGTCCTATGCACCAAAGCTACAAAGAAATATTTGAATAATTTAAGAATGATGCACTTTGTTGGAACAGCACGGAACGCCTTGGATGCCGGTTCAAGACGAGATCGTGTCGTAAATTAAAAAAAAAAAGATTTTAATTCATAATGAAAACATAATTTAAATCAAAACTAGTAAGTCTTGTTCTACAACTAGCTTCGGTTATTCTAGATCTAGCTTCAGTCTTAATTCAAGATCTGAATTCCATTACTAAATAAGAGACGATTTTGCCGTAAAGGGCTGTACGATTTTTGATGAGAATTTATAAAGGGTTAGTCTAAAGCTGTAACGTGGGCATATCGCATACCATCAATACAACTAAGGGAAAAGACTATTTTTCCAAACACAGGCTTGTGTTGGACTTGCGGGGCCTAGAAAACAATTGCAAGCAGTATTCGCATATAACAGTTTTTGGAAGATATTGTAATCCTAAGTATAACAAAACATAAGAATTTAGATTTCGAACCAGTGCAAAACTCAAGCAACATATGACGCTGGCAATCAATACAATATTATAGCAATACAGCTTAAAAACAATGAAATAATAGTTAATTAATTAATATTTAATGTTTGTTTAAACTAGAAACCGATTAAGTTAATGATTTACACGTGTAAGTGTAGAATTTAGTTGTCAATGTTACAAAGGGTTTTAGGTTAGTAGTCGTATTTTAATAAAAAGAGGTGTATCGCGATATTATGACTCATAGTTATTTCGATTCGATTCCTAATCAAAGTATGATTCCCGAAATCCCCAGATTTGATTACCGGCGAGACAAAATACATATAGCAATACCTTCGTATTTTCAAAACAGTAAAAGAATTGTGTGTGTCTTATTTATAAGGTATTAATAAAAATCTTCGTTTCAAAACATATTAATCTCGAAAAGGATACACAGTGGTCAGCTGACGTGACGTCACGGGTCAGTGACCCATGCAACTGTACACGTGACGTCACAGAGGTATATCCTCTTGAGTTATTCAAAAATGGAATGTTTTCAAGGCTGTTTTATCTAGCTTGTGACTGTAATTATGTTTTGTACCTACTGGTTGTAGTTTACGCGAGTAGTACACATTTAAATAAAACACTTTAACGGTTTAAAACGCGATAAATAATTTTCAAACAAATTTCACTAAAATATATAGCATTCTAAACCGTTAATGTGTTTTATTTAATGTTATATATTTTACGCAATTTCGTATTAGAATGAAATTAACGTTTCCTTTCTTTATATATATGACTGTATATAAATATCCTTTAATTATCTTAGCGTATTTTTATAGTCTGTGTTCTAAGTATTGTCTATAGTCTAATCGAGTAGACACATTTAAATAAAACACTTTTAACGGTTTAAAACGCGGATCATATAATTTAACTTACTTCCAATTTAATTTGGCCCGACGTTCAATACTTAATTTAGTAAATTATAATTTTGCAGCAGCCTTGTTCAATCACCTCTCGACCAAGTGAGTATATTTCGCGATAAAAACTGTGTTTTTATTAAAATTATTGTTTTTAATTAAACTGTTAGACCTAAATTAGTTTTTATAATTTATCCTAAATCCATTTTAATATCTTATAATTAGATAAGATTTCGTGTAGACTATACAATATTCTAGGGCGTAGTAAAAATTACCATAATAACGCATTAATATATTTAAAGGAATGTTAAGGTCATAATGTGTTTTCGATATTCCTAAACGCGAAACACTGAATGAATAAATTACCATATTTCAAATTCTTATCAATATACACACCCACCGACGTCACAGGTCAACGCCCTTTGGCCAAATCCGAGCTTGATTCGAAATTTGAATTTTAATCTAAATCACAAGTACAGGCCACACTGAGGGTTGCCCACATACTTAAGAGTTCACCGTTTAGCAGGCGAGTTTGATGGGCAGTTCTAATTGTAAAAATGATTTTACTTTTATTACGTGGGCAAAGAGTTACTGTGAAAAATCCTATTGCCTTATACCGAGTTTAAATTTTTAATATAAATAACTAAAATGTACGTTTTTTTTATTTTTAAGTAGGCATATATAACTAGCTACAAGATGTATTGCAAATTAACTATATCAAAGTTGCTATTTCAGGCGACGAACGGTTTACCTTTTTGCATGAGAAAATGTGAAAAACGCTCTTCGTATATAGCAACCCTATTACGTCACGGGTGAACGGCCGCGGTTGTCCGAACTGTACAACTATAACCTGTCTATCCAACAACTTATGTATACTCTAAAACAATGGATTACAGTTGGAATTGCTTTGGCAAAATTCAATGAAAGAGATTCGAATGTTACTGATAGTTCTTAGAAAATGTGTTTTATGCTAAATTTTAACGGTGGAGCACGTTTCGGCTATCTAAGCGCTCTATGCCTCATATACAAACGTACATACGTACATTGTTCTTATACCTTCGACCAAGAAATATGTAATAATCATTAAATAAATTACTTTTAACGGTTTTAAACGTGCATATAATATGTATTTACTTATTTTCAATGGCATGTCACTGTTTCATGTTTTATTATACATAAAGTGATCTATCTAATGTAACACAGTAATTTTACCAGTAGTTTGAAGATATATTTGTATAAGTACTTCAAAATATAGTTTTACTGTCTACGATACCTAATTGTATATTGAAGCTATTAAAATGCCGCTAAATATCTGAATATAACAAATAAATAAGTAACAATTTGATTATTCGTATTGAAAAGGTAACGGAAAATGAACTATAAAGTAAATCACTAAAGCACAAAATTAAGTGCTAACAACCAAGTAATGACTGAGACAAATATCTTATTACACTAATAACAACCGTAAAATTGTTTTAATTCGACATTAATATCAGACGGTAACAGCGTATCGGGTTCATTCACCCCCAAAGTGCGTTGTCAGCTGATCCGAAGCCAAAAAACAAAACTAAAAATAATATATAAGTAAACACCTCGCGACAGATATATTGCTGACGTCGCCTTCAAAACTTCTAGAACGTTTTGTCTATGACAAGCCGTTCGAAATTTAAATACCGAGTTGTCATAAATTGTAATTTGACATGACTAGTGGAGTCTATGAAAAGTTATTCGAAACTCGAATGTATTGTGCTTGCAACATTTTATTGTTCTATATTTAAAAATGGAAACGTACGTACAATCTTTTTTGTATTTATATAGTGATATAAATAGGAAATACGTTGAATTTGCACAGCAAAAAGTATTTATTTCTTCTCTGCTTCTCCGGGATTCAAACCCGGCCCGTGCTTAAGCATACTAGACAATTTTTAGCTTTGCTCAAGCAATTCTAGTTACATTGCTTTACATGCGTGAAGATCTGTATCCTCGCTTAGGATATTTATAAAACTGTTAAAGTTGTTTCGTTAATAAGATCAAATTGTTTAACCGTTTCAAGGCCACTTTGTACGGACGTTTCATTCACCTCAACTTATCTGTGATAGAGTTTAGATTTATATGTGTAAGTTTATGAAAGGGAAAAATCACATATAACTGTGGAAAGTGCTCTTTTGGTATTTAATCTACAAAAATTCTAAAAGCTATGGAGGCATAATTAGACTATAATCTATGAGGCTGAGTCGCCTAATAAAAAAGAAGCGAGTTTCAATAAGACAGTAAAATGCGCAATTAACTTAAGCGAAAATGATTTTTTTTTTTTTTTTTTTTAAACTAAGAGGCAAAGTTTTTGTATGTATTAACATTTCCAGACTATGAAACTATACATAACTCAAGTTATAAAATTGCAGTTAGGCCTAAAGGGCCAACTATGCCTTTAGCGACCTTATATTACATACGCACGTAATGTTATATTCTCAATATGTTCACTGTACATTTAAACTGAAATTTAACAATAGAAATGGAAAGGACATTTAATTAACTAGGTCATTGACCTCGAATTATGATTGCTCTCACCGTAGATCACTCTCTCCAGCTTTTTGATTCTTCCCATATGACGTCACTTTTGACCACTTAAACTTTGAATAGACGCTTATCCAAAATTTCCGTGATTAGTTTTCGCGTGCGTCAACTTACTTAACCTACATAAAACAAAGAGGCACAGTTTTTGGGGCACATTAGTTCGATAATTTTAACTAATTGTAAATAAATGGTCAAAAGTAGGACGGGTGACACGAATTGCTAAATATGGGCGATTAGTCGAATTTAGTTTAAGTGTTTAGCCTAGTGGCATTTTATCTATTTGCTGAGGACGAAGACAAAGTATATGTCACTCTAACATACTATATATATATGTGCGTGTGTGTTAGAGTGACATATACTATATATACATATATATATTTAAATTTCGAAGGGTAATATACGAATTTCGTTTCTTAAAGGCAGACAAAGTTCTGTAAATATTTTCGGGCACAACCCCGGCCCAAAATGTATGTTTTAAAGCTAGGACTAAGTTACAAAGGCGGTATCAAATATGTATTTGCTCATAAGTTATGTATTTAACAAATAATTTGAAAGAGAAGGAATTGTATTTTATTACTTTCTATAACGTGTTATTAGTGTCAAGATCTACATTTGTAAATTTAACTTATTATACATTGACTATACAGATAAACAAACAGACACTACTGGTATTGTAAGACAATTTATTGTGCCCCCTTTATTTCGACTAAGTTGGCTGATGGCGGGATATTTTCAACGTACATCTACTTTATAATTGTAACAAGTATTTTATTATTAGCACTAATTAATAGGCCTTATCTACAACTGAACTTTGTGTAACCGACGTTCAATTAGACAGAAACAAATAAACTGATAGATGTATTTATTATTATCGTATCAGTGTTGATATATTCTTTAGTCCCAAATTAGGGTATCGGATTTCATCATAACGTGCTGTCTCTTTCGTATTTCATAAGTCAAAAAGGGACCATCAATATTTTGATGAATAAAAATGCAATATAGCCAAAATAGATGTCTACGAGTATTCGTAGCGAGTGCTACGAATTTAATTTGGGCGTAGAAAAGAGCTACGGAACCATGGTTTATAATTTTATTCCGTATCAATAAGCTATTAAATATGAAACCGTTATTGCATTGTCTCTAATAAGCCGAAGGAATTCACTAATTTGAATATTACTGTACATTGCATATTACTTTGTTCTAGATTTTTTTATTCAATTGTAATTGCAAAAAATAGTCCCTATACCACTACAGTAATTACAGATATGAACTGTCACAATAGATGCGTAATTAAATCTACATATATCGAAATAGTTCGAACCCACTAACACATAAGAAATAATAATAAATGTAAGATATGCAAATTTGTGACTATCTCGGAATAAAATAAAGTTCCTAATAAATTACAAACGGTACACGGTATAAAACGAGAAGCATTAGTTGACTTATTGACGATTTATTTTAACTACGGCTCGACGGGTAGGCTTTGAGGGTGTCTCTGCTCGCGTTTTAAACCGTTAAAAGTTTATTTAAATCAACTTGCTTAAACTATAGGCAATTATTCATTAGTACATGAAATAATATTATATATATGTATGTATTAGATCCTGTGCAATATGGTTCTGTCGAGGAATTCAATATATTATATACTCAATGCCCAAGTTATGTACCAAGAAGGTTGTAGACGTCTGGGAAAAAATCAATGTTCTGCCTACGCCGCGTTATGTAACGGGCAGACAACGAACACAAGTTATTGCGTCTGGTATATTATATTTGGCCCATTGGGGCTGTGGGCCGGATGGGACTTAAATGTGTCAGGGACTTTGCGACTATAGCATGAGTCATATGTGACATTCTTAATTTATATATATATATATAACAGCGGAAGAATTTATTTGTAAAAACTTAACTTCTATTAATTTAACGGCAAATGGAAAGATTTTTAAACTCAATATTATAAGAATTTAAATAGACCTAATGAACCTAAATATTGCTTCAAAATATGAAAAATACCTCTTATAGAGTTGACAGATTTCTTGTCCATAAACATTCCAGAGATCGACGACCCGAACATCCCCTCGCTATTGGGGGGCGGGGAGGTGCTGTCCGCGACCGATCCTGACGTGATGTCCATCATGCCGTGCATCCCCTGGACCTCGTGGGGCTCGCGCTTCAACTGCATCCCCTGGGGCATGCCCTGCTGATGCAGCATCGTCGAGGCCGACGAGTGGCCTCCGTGCTGGTCCGGGGGCCACTGCGAGCCGAAGAGTTCGTGAAACTGATTGTTATTCATCTTCCCTTTTTAAATTCTCAATTTATTTTCGGCCAGCCGAATCGAATTCGCATGGCTCGAATATCACTGCAGTTTTGGTGTTCCTTTTTCGAAAACCGACTATGTCGTAAGGCAATGCGTAACCATAAAATTTTCTTCGAAAAAACTATGGCACTGTCGTTTCAACTTTGTTGAAGCACCACTATTTAACTGATATATATGTTCCGGCCGAGCGGCGATGTGAGGTTCCTCTTCGCAAAGTTTATTTCGGGTATTAACTTTTTGAAAAGCAACAAGTTTTTTGGCATTTTGTCGCCGTCGTCTCCGTTAGTATCTCCCCTCGGTTCTTATTAAATAAACATACTAATAAGGCACTGTTTTTGTTTATTGTATCTTCACACTTGTTCCCGATGACTACTTTCAAATTTATTAAAAGATTAACAGAATAGAACGATCTGCAAGTAAAAAAACGAGAGCAGAAAGGGTGTGTTCAATTAAGAGACAGAGTGGTAATTTAAATTTGGAATGAAATAAATTTATCCAGATGTCTAAATTCTGTTAATCTTTACGGTCGAACGGGGAACTCCACGTTCCGAATTAAATCCATGTCACTGCACATAAGGCACTGTCACAAAAACAAAAGACGCGTTCACCTTACTGCTGTACGAAAAAAATTTGTACGTTATTTTGTACTATAGGTTGTTCACAACTCGGCGACACGAGCACGACTGCTTAAGATGTCGACGCCTGGGCGGCACGATCGTGACTGACGCATTGACGAATCTTCAGGCCCGGCCGACGAAAATTATATATTTTTTCATTCGGACCGAATAATCAACTTAGCTCATAGTGATAGTTCAATCACCGGGGGCGAATAGGCGAATTTTCGCCTTCGATTTTGACCGTTACGCGTCCCACCCTCGGACGCTGTGGAACGGCTTAATTGGACGTCGCACCGTCGTGATTAGGGCTAGGGAAATGTTTACAATGAGGTAATTAAGTGACAAATTTGCCCAGCATAAGAGCCACGAGCGGTATCGATGTGTGCGTGAGACGTCGTACGGACGTAGCGGCGCGCGCACACAGCCGCACAGGCGTCACAGCGTGTCGTTGAACCCGGGACCCAAACAAAGTAGATTTCGGTGAAATGCTGTTGAACTCTAGTTTGAATGTGGAATCGGCGGATGCTCGGACCGGCTGCATTTTTGGCAATTCGATTTTTGAAAATTAACCGACTCTTTACAATTCGGCTAGTGTCAATATTCGACTGTCAATGGGTCGTTGACCCCGGTTTACATGTAGTGACGAAGCGGTTTTCGTATTACTAACAATGAATGATTAAGATTGTTTCAAAATGTTGAGTAACTCGACAGTTAAAGGATAGATAAATAATCAAATACACATAAATACACCTTCCAAACACATGCCAATTTTGCAATATAACCTAAAAAATAACGTAATTTTCTAAATTCAGTCTACCATAGTCACCTACTTTGTCTGACCCAAGCAAAGGTCAAAGTAACCATTAAGATCACAAAGCCAGTCCAAAAATATTAAAACATAATATCGCGTATATTTACTAAACATTATGTGTTTTTAAATATAAAATAGCAATCGCAATATGGTAAATGTCATAAATAAATAACTTTTGTCTAAAAAATGAGGAAAAGGCATGGAATACTTTCAAAAATTTCCCCCATTCCGCGCCACCGCAATGGCGACCTTGTCGTGACGTCACACCCTTCGTTCAATGAACTATCGATTTTGTCATCACGTGTTCATTATGACATTAGATTATGATAAACCAGATCAGCCATTTTATGGTGATGTTATAATATAGTTTACTGAAAACAGTGTCTAATGGTAAGTGGTAAGCGCGATGTATATTTCCTGTAGTAAATTAGCAATTAAATACTAAATTTTTTGACAGATGTTCATTTGTATGTTACATATGATAAATATTTATCGAAAATAAAAAACACTCAAACCACAAATATACTATCAAAAAAGTGCAATGACTTTGATAAAAAGTGATAAGAGTAATTATTAATTTATTTCACTTCTCCGTTTTTTTTTATATATAAAACGTGTTATTTTAGGTGTGCCTTAATGTAACTATAAGTATTGATAAGATGCCTGTTTAGGGAATATATATAATTAATTGCATTGATTTAATAATGTTTACCTTGTACAGAATAATATATATGTCTTTGCTATTAAAACCTTATTTTTTCTCAATTTATAAAAAAATTTACATAGATACCCGCCCAATTGTGCACAGACCAAAAACGGCTCATCTCCATTCAACGAAGAATTATTATCACTGTTTTGACAGCTAAAGGCGTTCCATTTTCAAAATCTCGAACAAATAACCGCCGGGAACTTTATAAACATCCGAGGAACAAATTCGGATGTTTAAATTGAGAACATTCGAAATTCAAATTCGAATGAGGCGAACTGCGTCCAACGAACTATGAACCTATGTGTGAACTTGGGCCGCCCCTATTATTTTACAGTTAGTCCGAATTGCAACTGTGCAAATATTGTTTCACGATTTGGGACTTCAGTGACCTATTTAGGACTTATTTACACATAGACTGTACATTAAGACGTAGTTTAGAGTGTTTTTAACAGGATTGCTTACTTTTTAATGATAGAGCAGAACAAACAAATATATAAATATAATAACATCCCACAAGATGTCCACCTATTTTGGCTTTGTACATTCGGAAATACACAGACTGAAGCCGAAAGGCGACACTCACGGTTTTTTCATCTGTGGACGTTGGTTTGTGACCCAGTCGGAATTTCTAGATTCCTACTTTCCTATTCCTGTTTCAGAAAAATGATAAATTGATGAGAAACATGTTGGACCCGATGGGGATCCAACCCACGACCCGTTGATTATTACCTACACTGCTATTAGACCAACGAGCTTGTTTAAACATTATAGACCCAATACATGTATTAATGACCCGGAAAAGGTTTTCCACATCCGGGAGAGAAAACCTTTTCACGTACAAGAAACCAAACTAGTGTTACCAATCAATGTCTGCTTCAGGACTTACGATGGATAAGGGTGGTAAACCAACACAAAGCGATAATTTATTTCTTGATAACTAAGTATTAATATTATAGTGATTAATATTTCTACAAATGCTCGTCGTATTTTTCTAACGTTAAGTTAATCGGTTGCATGTTTTGCGTAGAGGTTACGATTGTACTGTACGGTATCCTAACAGTATTTGCGACCGTTAGGATCTACTTGTTTGGTAAATGGTGACTTTTTACTTGTAAATGATAAAATATCGATTAAAGCTTACTTATAGCCACGTGAACTAAAGAACTATCTCAGTGCTTATAAAACAAATGTTACTTAAGTCTTAATAAAACACATTAACGGTTTAAAACGCGAAATATATTAGTTAAACTTATTTGAACATCATTTTGAGTACGGCCCGATGTTTTGGACGCTTGCAGCCGTGGTCACGGTGAGTCTACCCTCAAGTAAGTTTAACTAATATATTTCGCTTTTTAAACCGTTAAAGTGTTTTATTTAAATTTGTATTATCGCGTGAACTGCAGACAGCATAAAAAAAACTGTTAAAGTATAAAGTTCTGTGCGAGCTAGACATATTATGCGTCCGTTTCACTGACTGGTATGTACTTATTCAGTAATTAGTACCTCAACAATTTTTCTAGCCTGGGATTCGAATCCATGACCTCTAGTGTGAAATGCATATACGGAACCATGAGACAGCAACCGGGTATCCTAAAGTGATCTCTTAAGATTGAGGACGTGAATCATTTTTGAATTTGAAGTACCAGGGGTTAAGACACTCAAGGAAATCTCCTCACCAGAGTAACATGGAAAATGCCAGATCGCGCGCGACCATCGCTGGTGGTTAGTACTTACTAGACGAGCCAATGAACTGTTTCGGGGTTCAACGCACCCGGCTAAGATAAACTATATTGATCGATTTATATGACGTTTCCGTCATTTTGGCGTTTCGCGGGTTTTTTTTAACATTGTGATTTTTTTGAACAGACAAGCATTACTTTATAAAACGCTCCAGCTATATAACATGTAATATGTGTAGTCGACCTATTTTGGGCACTGCAAAATGAATACTGACTGAAATCCAAACGCTGATTTATTTCATGGCATTTTTATCTGTGGTCGGTGATCAACATTCATTTATATATCTCGATTTTCCGGACAATGTTTACCTTTTCTTGCCTTACCTATCTCCAAAATTATTAATTAATTTAGTCAGTAGGAATCGAACCGGCGATTAGAGACTTTTTATAATGCCCCGGTTTCTAGTCTGGTAACTCAAGATTTTTTTGGTACGGCCACCCAAATCACGTAATTAAATCAAATTAGATGACGCATTGTTAAAAATAAACTAGGATAGAAGAGTTTTTCTTTTGTTACGCTTAAAAAGGAAACCTTACGCATGTTTCTATGACTCTAACTTTTTAAGGTTTTATGTGAAAATTTAGATTATTTTTATTTTATTTAAAGATATTATTGTTGTATACATTTTGAAAATAAACCTTAGGACAAACTTTACAACTAAAGGTATCCTTTTCTCTTTTTATCAACTGTAATTTCAAAGAAAAAAAATTTTTTGCCTTCGGAAGAATTAGTTAAAAAAGGTGTGTTAAGTAAACTTGTTGCTTAGTACAATGCGATCTAATCTAACCATTAATGTACCACGCATTTACAATTTAGATTTGAAAATATTGCATTCTGTATTTATCCTGTTTTCATAATATATTTTAGTAGAATTTTGTTCGAATCTATAATTAATTAAAACCTCTAAACAAGTAAATGATCACAATACTGAATGGTTTTAACTATGTAATGTCTGCTGAATAAAAAAAAATGTTTAAATCGCCATAGATAAACTATGTCTTCATGGGAGGTCAATGGTATATTTGAAAAGTATCTTACCAAACCATAGTTGCCAACTGCAAGAATTATAAATAAAATACGCGATAAACCTCCTTTTGGCATCAAATAAAACTTATATTTAATTTTAACTGCATAAAACGTGGACTCGAGCCAAATATTTTTCAGTATAAAACTGAGTTATTCATGTTAAATAAGCTATATTTAAATTAAATCAAACCAAATACTGTCTGTAGTTTGAAAACATTAATATTTTTCACATTTATTGCACATGAAGGCACTATATATTTAAAAATCGAAAATAAATTGAAAAAATTTTCGACTCGGGCACTTGAACCGGCATCGTCAGCTTTCCGTGCTGTTCTCTACCAATTACTACCGAGTCCTACACCTCATTAATTTTTTCAACTTATTGATACATGCACCTCTCGCGCAATTAATTTCTACCTTAACACTTGCGTATTAAGGCTCAATGTCTTATGCTTTGCACTTAAAAATCATTGAAATGAAATTACAAAGTTATAACGTTTGAAAACATTAATATTTTTCACATGTTATTGCACATGAAGCACTATATAATTTAAAAATCGAAAATAAATTGAAAAATTTTTTTCGACTCCAGACTTGAACCGGCATCGTCAGCTTTCCGTGCTGTTGCTCTACCAATTGAGCTACCGAGTCCTACACCTCATCGTCGAATTTTTTCAACTTATTGATACATGCACCTCTCGCGCAATGTAATTTCTACCTTAACACTTGCGTATTAAGGCGTATTTACGTTACGTATTAAAAAAATTTTTTCAATTTATTTTTCGATTTTTTAAATTATATAGTGCTCTTCATGTGCAATAACATGTGAAAAATATTAATGTTTTCAAACGTTATAACTTTGTAATTTCATCTTCAATGATTTCTTAAGCTGCAAAGCATAAGACATTGAGCCTTAATACGCAAGTGTTAAGGTAGAAATTACATTGCGCGAGAGGTGCATGTATCAATAAGTTGAAAAAATTCGACGATGAGGTGTAGGACTCGGTAGCTCAATTGGTAGAGCAACAGCACGGAAAGCTGACGATGCCGGTTCAAGTCCTGCCCGAGTCGAAAATTTTTTCAATTTATTTTCGATTTTTAAACTGTCTATAGTTTACGCGAGTAGTACACATTAAAAAAAACAACTTCAACTGTTTAAAACGCGATATATTTTACGCGGAGATCTCCGTGACCGCTGCTGCAAAGCATGAGAAACGTCGGGCCGTACTTAAAAATAATTTTGCAAATAAGTTTA